TTCCACGTGAAAAATGTCATTTCTAAAACCTACAATGGTTGTTTTAAGAATGGAACCTTTCAAGAAACTCACATTTTAAAATGTGCTATTTGCGGAATTTGTCTTTCAAAGAATCTTTCCTAGACTTGTGTATAATTTCTAAGAATTAAACCTTCTTACAAGAACGCAGGAAATGTGATTTTAAAAGAAATGTAACGTCAAAACCTTTATAATTTTTTTTTTGATGGAAGAAACTTGAAAATTATTTATAAATCAATAATAAAAAAAACGTACATTCATATACATTGTCCAATCCTGAGGTTCAATCTTAACCAGGGGCAAAAAGTAAAGTTAATTTTTCCCCATCATGAAAGAAACCAGTTTGTGCCTTGATGTTCATACTACGTCGTAGCAGATCATCAGTAGTAATGTAGTCGTAGTCGCATTTATTTTCCGTAGCACGTAGCACTGTAAGTTGTCAGCAAGTTAAGCTGGGTAATATTTACATTTCGTAGCATATTGTCAACCCTGTATTTGTTCCCTAATTGGAAGATTAGATAATCAAAATTTTTAAATAATTAGTGACTTACTAAAAACTTAAATGCAAAAAATATGTTTATTTTAATGTATCAAGAATATACGGGTGCATTAAAATTCAGTACAGTGAATTTTGATATTTTAATACCTAAATTAATAAATGTTTTGAATGTAAGCTTCTGCATTACTCCCTGAAGTCTCTGAAGTTTATTACATTCCAATGTAACATTTCTCCTGCACATGCAGTTAAATATTTCCTTTTAATAAAGCTCCACATGACCCATTTAATTGTACACGGGCATTTCACTTTACTTTTATGTTATTTCACTTAATTGGTTACACAATTGAACTGTACAATCGTTACATAATATCCTACAGCACACATTGTACTGTAAACTTCACATAAACAAGGTAGTAAGAAAAAAATAAAGAATGCTCTTGCATTTACGGTTTCAATAATAATATGGGTTATTTAGTATCAGGAAAAATACTTTATTCCGCTTAAAACTCGGACTACGGTCCATATTTTTAAGATAATGAGTATTTCATAGTTAGTATAATTTCGCGTCGAACTTTTTTCAATGAATGATAATAATATACTCTATTAGATACAAGAAATAATATAACACCAATACTTACAAAGTATGACCATATTTGTTAAAGGTTTTGTTACGCACAAAAGTCAGTTCGCGAATAATTTATGAGCAATCACTAAAAGTTGCGTTTTAATATGTTCTGAACAATTTTCAATGTATTTGTAAGTTCTCTGAGAAAAATATTTTGGTGACATCGATACGCATATTTCAATATTTCAGTAAATAAATTAAGGAAATTGGACGTTTCTATAATTTATAGGGCCCGCAGATAAATATTCAATTTATTGACAGTCGTCCGTTTTAGAGGACCGACTTATATTATTTTCTGTTGTCGATTGATGAATTTATCACGGTTATTGTTAAAAATACATTACGTAAGTTTTGTTATTCTTCCTTTCACAATTATTTTATCCAATAGCAAATGCTTGACTATATCAAGGTATTTAATATAGACGCAAAAGATACTCTGCAAGTTAACGTTGAAATTCAGGAACTTTTTTCTTGCTGGACATCGGAATTCGAGTTTTAAATTAGTTTACAGGGAAGGTAAAGTTTTTCTAAAAAATGCCTACTGATAAAAATAAATTTACACAGAAATATCCAGTAAAACAGTTAACAGGAAATTTAAAGAACACCTCTACTCGCAAATATCCGGCCGGATACAGCCATCCGGGAAATTTTGAGTTCAGAAATTACAGTTTCATCGAATACGGTTCGTTTGCCGAAATGAGCTCTAATGACTGTCATTGTGCGATCTGATTAAAGAATTTGATTGTCTAAAAAAAGAACCGTCCCGATATAAAATCCGTTTAAAGAAATCCCCTCAGTTAATTGCGTTCCGAGAATGTTCCTCGGATTTTTGCTTCTGAATACTTTATTAATAACACTAGGCTAATTTAGTAATGAAATAATTCCGCACTGCACAGAAATCATTGTTTAAACACTCCGAGTGATTCTATCCAGACATTCTGACTTGTTGAGGTTTTAACTGAGTGAGTTATTTATACAGTGTGAGTCACGTTAAAGTGTACATATGAAAATAGATAAAACTAGACCTGTTTTTACACACTGAAAACCAGCGTCGTGGCTTCCCTCACCGGGGGCCACGGCATATGCTGAGTGAGGTCCCATTGCGATGGGCATCGCTGTGCGACAGGGTGGCACTGCTTAGTTTATTCATTCATTTATTGTATGTTTTATGTCACCTCTGTCTTATTTGCTTTTTTTTTTCATTTTACCTCTTTTGTCTTTTGTGATGTCCATAGCAATAAATGTTTCTTTCTTTCTTTCTTTCTTTCTTTCTTTCTTTATCGACAAAAAAGAGGTCAAAAATTTTTTGAGATTTTTTTTTAATTTTTTATAGAATTTTTTTTCTTCCAATTACTTAATGTAAAGAAAACGTAATAACTTTTAAACTAAGCGGTATATCCTAATAAAATAAAAACAGTAATAATGCTAAATAACAGGCGATACTAAAAAATACATAAAATACACAAAAAAGGCCAAAAAATAATAAAAAATTATACTTTTTGAAAAAAATCTGCTTAAAAATTCGTGTTTTTTTGGTTATTTGATAAATTTCTCCAAAAAATGCCCCTATAACTGGTGGTTTTTATTACTTTGTATTATTCTCTATCGTATTACCTTCGTAAAACCAAAAATCGCATGTCTCTATCCCTATCACAACGTTTGCAATGATCGTTTGAACTAAGCCTCTCCGGGCGCGCCATTCAACGCTTCGTTAACAACAAAACTGAAAATGGTTCTAGATTTGTAATTTTGATAAAGACAAGTTAGATTTCAAATAAAAACAAAAGATTTCGAAGTAAAATAAGCATTTTAGTTAAAATTAAAATTGTCTCTACCTGTAGCGGAGAATAATGTTGTAGCAGGCCTTTGTTCAAACGATCATAGCAAATGTTGTGATAGGGATAGAGGCATGCGATTTTTGGTTTTACATAGATAATACGATAGAGAATAATACAAAGTAATAAAAACCACCAGTTATAGGGGCATTTTTTGGAGAAATTTATCAAATAACCAAAAAAACACGAATTTTTAAGCAGATTTTTTTCAAAAATTATCATTTTTTATTATTTGTTGGCCTTTTCTGTGTATTTTATGTATTTTTTTAGTATTGCCTGTTATTTAGCATTATTACTGTTTTTATTTTATCAGGATATACCGCTTAGTTTAAAAGTTATTACGTTTTCTTTACAATAAGTAATTGGAAGAAAAAAAATTCTATAAAAAATTTAAAAAAAATCTCAAAAAATTTTTGACCTCTTTTTTGTCGATAAAAATAGGTCTAGTTTCATCTATTTTCATATGTACACTTTAACGTGACTCACACTGTATAATGAATCCTGAAATAGCAAAATACGCCGTTAACTCAGCACAGATTACAAGGTTTGCTCATCATTTCCGTTAAGGTGGTTGAATTGTTTCGAATATGTCCCCGGGTTGTCTGGGAGAGATGGCTTTGTTAAGATAAGGCCGCCTAAATTGTACCATTTTAAGTTATTGTGTAAGAATTGTATAGGTATGGGATTATGGCACATCCAGCTGTAAAAAAATCTGGCGAATTATGATGTTGTCATTTTGCAACAAAAATAGGTAGAGTTCCATCTTGATTACTGTTATAAAACGTGGCCTAAATTATATATTATCTATTCTGTGACAGATGTGAGGAAATATTGCAGGTTTTTCTTTTGTTATCTAGAGTAGGTATACTCGTACTTATTGGTTTTATCCAAAATATTGCCAAATAAAATGAGCAGAACTATTTCTAATATAAAACGGTCATATATCTTGATATGAGTTCTATATTCGAAATAAGTGAATATACGAGTATTTTTCCATTTGTTATTGTACCTGTTACGGTTCGTATTTTGTTCGCATCAAAGGTTTGGAACGGAGCGTTTGTATCTTATCTATGGGACGGCCGATATCGTCCCGTCATCACTCGGGCATTGTGCGCCCGTGACAACTGCCACAGCGAAAACTTGCGACTTGTCAACCGACACATTCGTTCCGTGTAAAGAAAAACAAATCAACGTTTAAAAAAGGCGCTACATTTTTGTATACGACTGTACCATTAACCGTGCGCTTACTGCAGCATTAAACGAACAGCATTTCAACGCGTTACAATCTCGAGCGTGTTTGATGTTTATGTCCGAGTATTGTTGCGAGTCTGCGGGATTCGAAAATTAATTCTGTTTTCATTCGAAGAATTTTATTCACTTGCCGAAACAACGGCTGGCAATATTATGACGAGCATAGTACGAGTAGCGTGTCTCTGTCGTGCCTCGTATTGAATAGTGTCGATGTGGCGGCCTCGCGGCAACTTCTCTACTATCTGTTTAGTTTCCCGCCTCCGAGACAATTTAACTTGACAACGTGGACTCTGCAACAAAGGCTGCTCGCTCTATTTAGCTCTCAGCCTGTGCCAATGGGAGAATTGTAGATATTAAATGCTTTTCTACCGTGAAAACTTACTATCAAAGTTACTTACAGAAAGTTTACTAAACACTTTCAGTTTCGAAAAGTTAATAACTGCAATTGGTTTTGAAACAACAACAAAACATTTCAATTAACTCTACAAATAAGTAGGTATGTATTTATTGCATCGAAATGTCTGTACATAAACTTTTATTTACGAACACGGTTAACTTGTTAACTAAATAATTCCAAAGTTGTTGCAATTCCGGGGACTGAGCAAACGTTTGCTTGATAAGCGCGAAAAGGAAGTCCAAATACCTTTAATCGTGTAAATACGAAATCGGCGACATCCATTTGTGCGAGATTTCACGTAAACGTACCTTGCTATGTGGAGAATATTTTGTGAGCGTTCTTTGTGAGATCGGGGACGAGTGTAAACACGGGTGCGCGGCGCGGCGTGACCACGGGCCGGGAGGGCGGCTCTCGCGCGGCATTCGGGCGGCCGCCGCCGCGCGCTCCGCCCGCACCATGTCGGTGCGCGTCGATCACCGCGAGCGCGACCGCGAGCGCTTCTCGCGCCACTCGTCGCGCGCCTCCGTGGACCTGGCCTTCCCCAGCAGTTCCACGCGCGACCACTCGCTGCGCTCCGTGCACTCGGCCCGCGTGCCGAGGGCGGCCAGCGATGACTTGATGGTGCCCGTGCGCACCCTGCGCTCCGCCTCGTGCCGCGTGGCCCCCGGGGCCCCCCATCGCCTGCGCCGCCACCACTCGTCCGCCGCGGAATGCGAGCGCGCGCGCCGCTCCCGCCGGCACACCCTCGAGCTGCCCAACAGCCGCGGCCCCAGCGTCCGCAGCCGCTCGCCCGAGCCGCCGCCGCCGCCGCCGGAGCCCGAGGTGCCCCCCGAGGACGCCGGCAAGGAGGCCCGCCGGCGCCGCGTCGTGGCCGCCGTCGCAGCCTCCTTCTTCGCGCTCGCGCTGGCGTCGGTCCTCGTCGTGGTGGTGACGCTCACCCACAGCTCAGTGCTCCGAGCTCACAATCAAACGGCCAAGTACTACACGTTCTCCGTGCCGCCGCACCATCCTCTCAGTGAGCCCCGTTCATGTTGCCCCACCGTCGCCCCTCCCGCTTCGCATGCGACTGTCTCCGACCCTGAGTGCCAGGGGCTGCGAACGTCACCGCGGTGCCTCGTCTGCTCGCCACTATACGCGGTACATATTGTGCAATACTCACATGATTAAACAGACTGACGCCGATAACGGCAAATGCTTAGCGATCTTGTTGACTCGTTTGAACTGAACGCGGAATTCGAAGACCGGAGATCACAGGAACGCGAAGGGTTTGTGTGATGTGGGTTTATGGGGAACAGAACCGCTAGGCCTTTGTCAAATTAGGCGTCAGTACATACAGACTACACATAATACGCACGTTCGCAACCCCCTCTTCTGCATGATTAGATACTGTACTATAGATGTTATGTGTTTGTGATGGTTAATGTTAAGTATAATTAACTTAATCTATAAGTTCGTCGAACCACATACTTTGGTGTATTTATACTGTGTGGTGTGTTTATAAAAGTGGTGATTATTTGTATAGGTAGATATTATAAATCTATTTATAAAAGAAATCCCTGCATCGATCGGTTCATGGAAGAAAACAATAGCTAGACTTGCCACGCAGGTAATTAATTGCTATCCGCCGCGATAGCTCAGTTAAATCTCATACTTTTACGGGAATCCTTTTGCTGCACCTTTTCCGGAGGCTTACCCAGGTGAACTAATATATCTTCAGGGGTTTCCAGCCTCCGGCAGGCCGAGCAATAAATAAGTTTATGGATCTATCGGAAAACGTATTATTGCCATTTAAAGTAACGTTTACGTAGCTGTGCTCTTAAACAGACAATGGATATTTAACTTAGTTCTGATTTGATTAAACTTTAAGTACCTAAATTCACGATTCCCACCCAAACACAACTCATAATTCGCCACTTACTGAAATGTGATCGTAATTTAATTAAAGTGTCAAAACGTTCGTCACGACATAGACATTCATTAGAAATGTTCCCAAGTTTTGAAATGTTACTCCATTCAAAGTACATTTTGAACGGTAGTTAAATTTTCTACGAATACTCTCGCTTTTGGATACGGGCAATCTGAAACCAACAGGTTTTAAGTTTTAATCTCGTCGTCTCATTTTCATGAACCTTAATATCGCTGCCTTAATGAATATAAGGTGCGAACGCTGATTGGTGATCTCTCCCAAATCACGTTGTATAAGGCAGGTGGCATACGATCCCTCATCTCATCAATATACAATTCCCTGAGCTGTGTGCTCTAATCACAATAAGGCCCAGTAGCGTTTAGCGGACATTGATTAATGTTATTAAAGCCAGTATTGGACGTCAGTTGGTTAGTTCACTTGATATCTAGTCAAAATAGTGATACAATCAGAACATTTGCCATATTACAAGTGATTTACACCTGAATAGATAATTATAAGTATAATTTAAGAATACGATCGTTACTATTTGAGTCCTTTATCATCAACATCGTTATCTAACTCGATGAGGTAATTTACAATAACATAGTAATTTATACAAAATGATTTACGATAAAACTTTGGTTCAACTCTATCAGCGCTTCGGGACCAATTAATATGTTGAATATTACATTAATAGACAATATTGTTATTTGCTTTAAAATCATATTATTACATTACATAAGTTGTAGCTACTTTTGTGCGGGTTTTGACATTTAATTTGACTTTTTTTCCAATCTCAAGTTGTTCAGAGCCGCAAAGAATAGCCTTCAACTATCTCTCGAACGACTTTTCCGTAAATTAAAGAACGTTATAGCCCAGTTACTGTCACGAAGTGGCACCTAAATTGAGTCTGTTGTAAGCCGGTATAAGAGTGGCATTACGGGCGATCTGCAGCTATAAAGGCGAGCACAAACAATCCCTCATCAATATACAATCCCTCGTGCTGTTTGCCCTAATCCCAATAAAGCCCGTTCAGTCTATAACGGTCCATCTTAAGGGAACGATTAATTATGTCATGTTGCTGTTGTTGATGCGTTAACGGACACGTATCTAAATCAACACGATACATTAACTACTCGTATTAATAGATATTTTGACGATTTTGTTACTTTAAGTAGGTACAACACAGGAAGGAAAACTGGATAATCAAAATCTACTCTCTGAAAGTAGGTACATATTCATAAAAGTACCTTTATTGTATCCAAATAGTTAATGAAATGTGTAAGTAAGCTCTACCATACATTTATTTTCGCGTTTAATGAACCAAAACCCATTTCAGACGGTTCCTTTGGAGTCAAAGGACATCCATATTCCATTTTATTTATCTTGTTCCAATGTCGGTAAGTATTTATTATTCTTATGATAATCTTCCAAATATTTTTTTGGTATTTCGCTGTGACGTGAACTTTCTTTTGGGGAGCTACGTTAAAAACGTCTTTGTCGTAAAAGATAAAACTTTCAAAAGGGTCTTGTGACATTATTCCCTTTCGGAGTTATGGTAGCAATTTTAACGATGCAACCCGCTCGCAGCCTGCGAGCCGTAATGGCTGCCGACTTGTTGCGCGGGATGACCAAATCATTTGTCAGCTTTTGAGTCAAATATTTCGGTTGTAAAACATACAGTGTTACAATATTATTACCGTCTATCAAGTGCATTCATAAGTTCGAACTTCGATTAAAATGTTCTGATACAAACAAAAAACGTAATAACTTTGCATCCGCGTTAACTTCGTTATATTTTCACAAAGCGAACTCATTAATACTGGCCACTTTATTTTGTTTCTTTTCAAAAAGAATGCTAGCAAGTTTGAAACTCTGTGGAACGCGGTTAGATTCTGAGTTTTATTATTCTCCTCGTTGCGCGTTGTGGGATAATATTTCTTTAAATATTTGTGAGTTAATCATCCCACTCGAGATAAGCACACCTTTTAATATATTCCCGTTTTATCTTGCCTTTCTAATACCGCCACATGTTTCTGGCAGCATTTAAGACATTTAACGTGTAAGCAAGGCTTACATTCTAAGAACATTGTTTAATTTAGTTTGGAGTGAAAAGTGAAGGGGCGAAGGTAACGTTGAAATTACTTGTACATAGTTCTTCAGGTCACTTAATCAAGACTTTAATAGTAAATTATAATACAGCGTTGAAAGTTACTTATTACAGACTGCAATCCGAGCGGAAGACGAGGGCGTTATTTAGCTCAGAGTGTAATGACTAAACCTTCCACACTGAAAAGTAAAAGAAAATTTATCAACATCTGTGTCAACATTTTCATCTATGACTTTGCTCAGTGGTTATGGTGCTCGTTATGTAAGAAAATTTGTGGGCTTGACGCACGTTGAGCCCCACCTAGTTGTCGCTTTTAATTCATTAGGTAAGTAGTTAGGTATTACCTCGATTTTACGATAATAGATTTTGATTACTTTCCTAGTAACTAGATAGGTATACCTCGAGAAAATCGTATCACTAAATAATTTAATTTACACGTGTTTTCATGCGATGGCCAAGTCAATATATTTATGTAAAACGTTAAAGATTTCCTGGCCTGGACTTGGTATTACATGGATCTCACAACTTTTTACCGTAGAACAACTGAGTTGCGAGACTTGGTTTTTTTGACAAGTATTGTTTTTGATGGGATCTCATTTCTTTTTGTATTTTGTAGACAGCAGTTATGTATCTAGAAAACTGGACCGAAATTGAAAAATTTTACTCGACTTGGCGGTTGCACTACCGTGCCCCCAAATATTTTAGTTTTTCCTTGATTCATACACCAAACACTACTTATATTCCAAATTTGAAGCTTCTAGGTCTGCTAGAAGTGCCTTAGAGTTTTGATGATCGGTGAGTCAGTGAGTGAGTCAGTGAGTGAGTCAGTGAGTGACAAAATTAAGTAACTTTGACCCGTTATAATTCTTAAACTACTGGTTCAAATTGAATGAAATTTTAAATATACCGTGTCTTTACAATGCCTGCATAGCTAATGAAAATTCAGCCATCTAGTTTTATCCACAACGAAGTTACAGGCGGTCGAAAATGGCCTGAATTGCTTCGAGAAAAGGATGGTACGGCCGTGCCGCTTTTTTGCTCGACTTGGTGGGGGCACTGCCGTGCCCCCAGATTCCTTCCCTAATTATGGAAGACAACAATACAGAGAGCCCAATAATACAAGTTAAAAGGCTTCGTTATTATCATGTTCCTTGACATCATTCCGAATACAGAGCGAATCCAGCGGTTGTCCGTATCCATTCCTTTGTGAATGATTAATGGTATTATGAATAGGTTGTAATACAATACACTAATGTGGTCTCTATTTGTAGAGGCCTCGCTGGACAGAATCTGTATCTTTCGTTAAGTACGTAGTTTGGGGCGTTCGCGTCACTTCAGTGATACTTTTCACAAAAATACCTACTTACGAGTACGTTTGTTTTCTGCATTTAAAGTATTTAAATACCTATAGCTTTCATACTTTGTAGTTTTGGGATAGCCCAATCAATAGTATAGATAGACTATCGGTCAAGTTTGTGTAATGTGATCATTAGTAGGAAATATTTATGTAACTACTTAACGTTAATTAGTGGAATAGTGGTTCAACCCACCGGTTTATGATTTTCATAAAATTATTCACCGGTTAACAATTTGACACGTGAAAATACATAAGTAATTGATGTAAGACTCTTCAAAGTAAGTAGGTTACTTACATTATCTGTAGCAAGGTAAATATCACAAATCATCTTTATTTCTCGAGTAGATTATGTGGGACCACCAGTGCTCAGAGGAAGCTCTGCAAACTCAATCACTGTTGTCAGCCTTTTACAAATCTTCACAAGATGTAGGTAGATATACTGTACCTACTGGTGGGAGCTTGGGGGTTCTAAGTCAACACAATTTTGTCTTTTGAAGAATCTTTTAGTGACTTTCAACTTGCCGAGTAAGAAATGTAAAGCTCTTATTATTAAAATGCTTAAATAAAAGTGTTCAACGTTGAACTCGTGTTCATTTCGTTACAAAGTTGCAGTAATAGTAGATACGGAATATTTATTTATAT